CGCCACATCTGGTCTCGATCTCTCTTCTTCTCCCGTTGTTTCTCTTTTTCTTTCAGTTTCTTTTCCCTTCCGTTTCGCCCCTTCTTCCGATCGAACTTCCTTTCTCGGAGTTTTTGCTAACTTTAGAGGATTCCCCGGGGACAGGTGTGAAAGAAAGGTGATCGCGGTGGTCGTTCGATGGATTTTTTCGTTGATCGCGTATTCGTGGTACAATATTGGCTGCCGCCGTACCCACGTGGTGTTTTGGTGATCCCGCGAATTCGAGATACGTCGGCTCGATGGAGTTGAGTGGGTGGCAGTGATCGGCCCCGCGTTTTCTGTGGATTGTTGAGAGTTTCGCGGTGGTGGTCCTTGTGAGAGGGATTTTCTTCGGGTGGTGATCGGTGGAGGGTAGTATGAGGTTGTAACCGAGGGCTGTAGTAAACATGAGGAAGAAAAATTTGAGGGTGGTGCACAAGCAGGTGTACGATCGCGTACAGATTCAGCAGGTATGTCACCCTGCCACGTGATCTTTTTTGACTATGGTTTTCAGTGGTTCTAGTTTTCGTTGATTTTTGCGTCACTGTTCGTGACGTGTGTGACGAGTTATTTAGATTGACTGGTCAGTTTGTATTTTTGTAGAATGTGTAAATTTCGTTTTACTGGATTCATGTTTATTAGTAGACTTTAATGCGTTTATGGGAAATTTTGGAGTGCTCAATTACAGAGAATACATATGACGCGAAAAAATAGATAAAATCTATAACGTGTAGTGTTCTTTACAATATTTAATAGAAAAACCATTTTCTGTTGTAATTCTGTTTTCCCAATAGTATTCTTAAAAATTGAAATTCGCATAAAGTTCTGCGGCTTGTTTATTAAATAATATGTATATGTTCGAGTTTTTAACATTTCTTAGTGTATTTATTTATGATATTTACGTATCATAGTGTGAACGTTGCATTAAAAGGTAAAGTGGCACTGTTTGGCTAATAAAATAATATTTCAATTTCCATTATACAATTAAACCGTGTCAGATGGCGAAGATTTTAAGTACAATTTAATCAATATAAATGTCATTCAATTCTTTTGAATTGAAATTAAATATTGTTGTTCTGTTATCCATTGTTATGCTTTAGAATAAATGTAAATACGATATAACAGGTTAACGGTTTTGTTTTTCTGTATTTGCTGCAAAATTCTGCCAGTGTTATATATTTTTTAAAACCTTTTCATTTTGTATTTATCTTATGTCAAATTGTGTCCTATATACAATAGTACTTGATAAATTGTGAAAATTCAAATAGTATTTTAAAAAATTGAAAAAGAATCGTAACTGTATTTTCGATGTATCTAAATAGCATCAATTTTAGTATCTCGATACGCAGTTTATCAAACATGGTAAATAATTTTTGGTTGCTAATATTGACACAAGAGCTAATTTCGGTAGGTTTTCGCAAGAGAACTGCGTCAAAATGATTCTCGATCGTCAATAGCGGAAATTAGGTCAGAATACGAAAAAATTGTCGAGCGTGTGATAATTGTTTCTCGCGTGCTACCAGTGGTGGGGGTTGCCACGACCGAGCCAATCAGCGGAGCCAGCGAAATGTTACGATTATGGTCCATTTACCGAGCGAGCCAAAAGTCGTGCCCTGACTGAGATTTGAATAGATCCGACTATGATTTCTATACCATTGTTAAATGTACAATTATAAAATGATCACTTCGGTGTCAGTTTATTCTTGAATAATATTAAAACGTTTAACCATTGAGTTTACGAAAATATTCTAAAGAATATGATATTTTCAACAAACTCTTAAACTTATTAATTTAATATATATCTCATTTAAGTAATTGATTAAATTTTATTTTATATTCTGAATAAAAAAATGATCACAGATATAATTTCAAATCTCTGCAACAAATAGAGTTCCTTTCGTTCTCAGTAATAACTATTTAAATATCCAACCTACAGATCTGAACGTATTCTAATTACTGACACTTCAACGTGTACATTAATAAAAATTTATCACATTTATTACAGTTTCCTCATATTAATTCGATTTTTAAAATGAGAATAGACAATTATATGTACTTTCAAGTAATTCTACTCTCCAGTTAACTCGCAACAATTTATCAAAAATATACAGTTACAATCTTTATAAGAATCGCTTCTTCTAATCCAAATATATTTACGTTTAAGAACGTTTTACCAGAATGGTCCCTTGGACCCAAAATCCAAGAAGGTTGAATGTTCGTCTTGGAACAAATATGAAAGCGGAAAAGATAGCCGCTATTTTTCCTTGCGAATTCACAATGCGAGGGTAGCTAAGATCACGTTCTGGTTGCAGCAAACGGATGTCCGGTCAAGTTTGGAGCATTTCTCGAGTACACCGGTGAAATCACTTCCGGGCAAGAGGGAAGATACACCGCCGACATCGTTAACGTCCCTAGCACCGTTAACCAGCTTGGCGAACTTGCCGAGTAGCACCCTCTCTTCTACACCCCTGTCTCTAGCGCCAGCGTCGAAGCTGCTCACACCGGCGGATAACAAGAGTCTCATGAGGTCAGTACTACGAACTTTGGTTAGTCAAAAATATATGGCGTGTATAGGGCGTGTGGCGTTATTGGACGTCTCTGTATGTAGGACTCAGGTAGAGTTAGAGAAAAGGTGAAATAGAAAAGAGTTGATCGTTAGTATTAAAATGTTTACTTTCATATAAATCGTCTGTTCGTAAGTGCAACGATGTATCTGCATTATTTTTAGCAAATTTTTTCTTCAACCGTTTGCTATATTTTAATATCGCATTGGAAATGTTGAGTGTAAAGGGTTAAAATATGCAGTTCTAGTTTTCTTTTTTCTGCCTCCTTTTTCTTCAGATTAGAGGTGTATATTATTAAAAGAATCTAAATACTACGATCGTTTCTATTTATCATTGATTACTTTGTATATGTTACTGTTAGTGTTTCAAAATTATATTTAAATAAAAATTCAAACTTAGCAATGAAGAGCAATTCATTTCGAGTATAAATCACATGTTCAGATCACCTATTTTAAACATTCCTAAAGAACCAAGTCACGGCTCTCTACAAACAGAATGAAAAACTGTCATCCAGTATTTCATCGAACAAAAAGAAATATTTTATTAATAACGATGAATATTTGAATTACCAAAATACCGTATTAAACCTGCATTCCATCTATCGAACAATCTCGGATAGAAGACCAACCAAAAATATCTCGCGACGTTACAACATTCCCCTCACATTCGATTAACAATGAAAAAAGTGGCAGAATCCTAGAAAGAAAAACAGAGAAGCGATCTAGAAACTGCGTCCTCGTGATCAGCCGCGAGATAAAGATTCGCGGAATCTATTGCGCGGGAATCGGCGGTCGATCGTCAGCTAGGCGCGCGAAAATTACGCTCTTCGCTCGTAATCAATTCCCGGCCGCGCAGCGTTCATTCTCGCGCCCAGTGATCTCTCATTCACCGATCTGCAAGTAACAACCGAGCCGAAGACGAGAATCGTAGATAAAAGCCGTCGCGTAGCTGGTCAAAGGTCGCGGCTAACGAAAAACCGAGCGACGGGGAAAAGAGAAAGAGAGCGACCGAGGGAATGAGAAAAAGAGAGAGAGAGAAAGAGAAGGATAGAGAGAATGAGCGCCGGAGGCGGAACCCAGGCGGAGCTAATCAATGCTACACCTTATCGTTAACACGAATCTCGCTCGCGTTTTTCAGCCAGGCAACGATAGTCAGCTCCTCGGCCGTTAATGGTGTTGCCAGCGGCGGTGCACCGACGGCGATGTACAGACCGAACTTCAGCCAGGCGTTCCAGCGTGCAGGACCGACGACAGTGCCGCCAACACTGTCCGCAGGATTGTACCCGACCCAGAGCTTCACGTCGGGCCTTCTGAGCAACGGTACACAAAGTAATATTGATTATCGGTGTTCTTTATTATTTCGCTTGCGTGCTCACCTTTTAGTTTCGTTTTCGTCCACGAGTACGTGGAAACGGTTGTCCCTTTTTGATTCGTAGGTTCATTTGTAATTTTGTTAACCCATTGCTATACGATATCGTGTCAGACTCGTGGCGAGGACTTCTAATGAGATTTAACGAATATGAGCTCGATTATTTCGAGTACGAATTGAATTTTTCTGTTGCTAATTGTAATGCTTCGAAGTAAAGGTAGACGTAGAATAAGCAATTTGTTTTGTTTCTCTGATCAATTATCATTTGAAATGCAAATGAGATTTTTTATATGGATATGGACACCGGTTTTCTTGCTGATGCATTGAAGGAACTGAATTTTGTTGGATCTATGAGATTCGGGAAAGTTAAGAGAACAGTTTCTGGGAGAAATTTTGACTGTTCACTTTCTGTTTTGTTGGGAAAATTTATTTGATTATTTATGCAATTTGATCCGATGATCAAAGTAAATGTTAGACCAATTTTAAAGGAAATATTGCGTGAGAAATATCTTGTGTTAAAATTTGTGTTGTAATGCTGCTCCATCTGCTAGAACCACGAGAAAGGAAGAAGTGAGAAATTAAAAAAGCATATTACAACACATGTCTTTACGTAATTGTCTAGACAGCTGATCGATAAGGTGGAGATGATCCTTTGCTGGCTTGAAGCGACTCACCGTGCTTCATTTGATCAAAGAATGTTGTTAACAAATTCGATATAACGATTTTTGACAAAATATTACTGCTTTTAATTAAGATTATTTTACAATTAATTCACTTTATATAACCAAGATCAATTAAGTATTTAATACTAAACAAATTTTAACAAATGCTAAGCATTTTTTATGTAATGTTTTAAATTCATTACACATGATTAATTTAATTTCGCACTTTTGTAAAACATTTTGATTTGAATATTGTTTCTTACAAAAAAATTCTTGAAATCTTTGTTAAAAAATTGTTTTTTTCGTTAACTGTATTACTCCATTTTAATCATCCACGTATCAGCTTCAATTTTACGTAGAGTCGTTTATAATCGCTTTAATCCTTTATAAACTAAATTATATCACTCCCATTTTTTGTTGGCATTTTTATTCAAACTGCTCCGAGACTGTTCAAGTAACGCACGTGCTGTACGTAAATGTTTCTTGCAACCGTTGCAGCATAAATATACGTAGTGATACCTCGAGTCAAATTTAAATGATAAAAAAAGGTCTGAATGTATTTAGTTGATTGACATGTTAATAAAAACGGTGATTTAAAATACGGAGTGGGCATAAACGGTTAAGCAAACTTCATTACTCAAGGCATTTAATTTCATTTGAAACCACACCTGTAAAAATATTTTTACCACACCGAAGTGTTCTATCGGATTGATTAATAACTTTGAGTGGAAGTTTACCAAGTTTGCATATAATTGCTTTTATTAACAAATACAGTTCATTTCCATAAGTCGTTCTTGTATCTACATTTAGACCTAATTTCAAGGAATATATTCCAGTGAAGATAACAATGATTGTAGTTATCTAGTTTGTTTTAAAACAAATCTATGCAAATTTAAGAGTCAATCCTACAGTTCCCAGGAACCAAGTTCCGTCCTCCAAACTGCTCCTTCTCAAACATACTAAAGTCCGCTTGAAATCGCTTAAAAACGAATAAACCGAATTTAATCGAAACACTTATCATTCTTCCAGGACCAACTGACCTGAGCATGAAGAACACGAAGCCACTGCTGAGCCACAAGCTGAACGCAACAGAAATGACCGCGGTCAGGCAATTGATTACCGGATATCGAGAGTCCGCAGCGTTCTTGCTGAGGTCCGCTGACGAGCTCGAGCAATTACTGCTCCAGCAACCATAGAGCTATATTTACGTAGCAAGTGGCCAGCAAATTAGTTCGTAAGTTCGGCCGGGTTGAGGACGGAAAAGAGAAAAAAGGAAGAAGAATGCAGGACGAAGAAAGGAAAAGAAGCAAGGGGGAAAAAGCAGAAGTGTCGTTCAAACGGCTATCTGATCTCCTAGCCCGGAGACTTCGACGACGGCATGAGTGATGCCGCTAATTACCGACAGTCGGTAACAAGAGTTTCTCTTATCCTCCATTAAGAAACATTTCCGAGACCACCGCCGTGTTTACCTAACAGAAAACTAGCGGACGCCGCTGCCCCGAGGGAATTATCTTCGGAACGGTAGACGACGCCAGAAACTACGGATTTTTTCTCCGACACGCGGTAACGAACGCTCCGCCCCGAACTACCGTTCACGGTGAATTAAGTCTTAGCGGTGGAGGTTGAAAGCGGTAGGAGATGATCCTCGGGATCTCCTATGTCGTCAGCCTCCGGGGCGCAGGCTGGGACGTTTCTCTCTCGGTGAACACAGAGTTCCACGCGAAACGAGCGCGCTGAAAACGCGGAGTTTTAAGACTAGACTTTAAGGGAACTATTCAAACAGGGTGTACATAGAGAGGATTTACAAAATATTTACTTAACTACCGATAAGCTTAAGCTTAACTCGAGAGGTATCGAGACCGCGTGTGTGAGAGTGCGTGCGAGAGGCTCCGGTATTGTCCTGGACGCCTTCAACTGATAAATCGTTTCGGTGTTTTCTTAGGTCTCGATGAGTCACGCGAACATTTTTTCCCCGATTCTGCAATGACCACGTTAGAAAACGCTGGCTCGAGTGATCCTTACC